GTTCCAGGCTGTGACTCCCACATGAACGGAACAGCACCCGAAGCCCCTCCGTAGTAGACCCTGCAAGAGGAATTAGCCATGGAAGTTTCCTTGGCCAAGAGCCTGGAGAAGAACTTGTCATCTTGCTTGATTTGGAGACCTTTCTGAGGCTGCAGCTCACGGCTACTTTCACTCAACATTTCGGAACTGATGTTGTGGTTAATTGTTCTTCGGATGGGATGGGGAGCTTGTCAGCTACACTTAGTAGATCTAATTTCTAAAGGGGCTCAAGATCCGAAGTTGAAGGCTGGTAAAGAGAGAATAGAATACTTCAAGGCCAAATGACTTGTTAAGTCTAGACTAGTGGGCAAATAATTAAGCCTCATGCAAATTTTGATATAATATTTGATGATCGTTTCCTTCATTTCGCCAAAGATTTTAATGAAGTAATGTTTGGACATTTAATTCAATGATAGACATACGTGTCTTCAAAGTTAAAAAACAGTGTTCAAATTATCTGATTCCAAATCAAAATAAAGAGAAATTAATGAAGTGGGACTTAATCAAATTGATTGACATCTTGGGGATTCAATTAATTTTGGTAATTTTTAATGGAAATTTAATGAGAAGGAACATATAGTGGGGAAATTAATAAGGTAGCTACACCTTACAAATAATTTTTTTGTAAGAATCTGAATCATTGATGAGACAGATTGATTTGGGTTAATGTGGACCTTCCATATTCATCCGAAGCAGGGAAAACAGTTGAGCAGTGAGGAAAGCTTAATTAAGTAATGGGTGAGCAAAGCCCTAATAAATGAGAACTTGTCGTGGTCCATGATTCCAGCAAAAGTTGATGGCTTGAGGAAAAACAGATAGGTATCCTAGCTTTAACAATTGGCCTTAGGGTTGATTAGCCTTTCAATTGTAGAGGAAAAGCAATATAATCTTTCATACCTAGACATATATACTATGACATCAAAGATTTTAAATTTGATGATAAAAGTTAGTAAATTATCATTAATAGAATTAAGGGATTCAAATTTATGTTCGATAAAAAATTACTTTCGTGTAACAACCATTAATCCTATTAATAATATTTACTAATTTAAGTAATCGGTTTTCCTTAAATACACAAAACTCAAAAAATTTAATCGTAATTTGGTGAAAATAATAAATCGAATCTTGAAGTGAAAAAATTCGACAAACGATAGATTTTAAAAAATATTTTGCCTATATAAAAACATATATTTTGCACCTGAACATTTAACTCATTAGTTCATATATTATCTTCCTGTCTAAAGAGCAAAATTTGAATTCTCTTTTCCTCAAATATAAAAAAATATATATTTTAAAAAAATAGTGAGTAAACGCATGCTTTAGTGGGGCCACATGAGCAATTGAAAGCAGTTTGGTTGCTAAAGAAACTTAGGACCACTATGGTTTAATTAATGGACCACCTGATTTTGTCACTACAATTTGGCCACCCAATAGTGAAAATTCCAAATACTAAGAGGTCAGTCTCATTAAAATACCTAGCACCAGGCCAGGACTGATCAAATTGGACAAAAACTTCATGAAAGAGGGACAAACAAACCCTAAATTCAAAACCATGAAAAATTAATGAGCTCTGAAGTTTTGCTAGGAGTAGGAGTTTGCACCCCTTTCTCTCTTTGTTTATATCCGTCTCCCCTTTGTGTCTCTCAAGATTAGGTAAATCCGTACACAAAGAAAACAAAAAAACAGATCTCTTTCTTCTAGAAAAATCACTTTCCTGTTCAATAATTTATTTATCGTAAAAATCACTACATTTATATAATATAATCTAACAATAACTAATCGTATCAAGTTATACCAATCTCAATTTCTTATTAAAATGTTGATAACCGTGTTTTTTGTCTACTTAATTTTGACGCGCATAAGCCTAACTTTGATATGTGTATTTGGTGAAAAATGTATCGAAATTCAATAGTCTTGAACTTAAAGATTGAAAATATTATATGTATATATATCTCCAATTTCATTATGCATTTTGGAAATGGTGGAATTAGTTTTGGTGATGACATTGAAATTTGGGTTTTATCCTTTTTAAAAGATTGATTGATACTTGCTACTTATCTATCATCAAAACAATAGAATATGTACATTAAATGAATATATAAGCTTACAAGACAAGAGAATCCTTAGTTTCAACAATCCACTTCTCCCATAAAGAGAGAAGAATATTAACTTGTTTACCTTAAATTGAAATTCTAGGTAAACCTTCCGATTATTTAAATATCAGATACGCGTATTTATTATTGAATCTGTAGCAGAGATCAAACAAATATAATTTTTCATATATGACACATGACACACATTGGATTACATTTGTTGACTTGTTGTCAAGCTTGTAACATGTTTGATGTAGATATATAGCACATATAACAAGTTTAAGTATTTTCTTGTGGAAATCTGATCCCTTTGGGCATATACCTGTACCTTCCATACATTTCTACAATTGTATCTTGTCAATTATCATTCAACTCAACATCCAGCTACCAATGTTTATCCAATTCAAGTCTTTTGAGTCCATGCGACACAAACACAAACAAAGAAAACAGCATCATTCCTCTTAACAAAAGGGTAAAATTGTGTTTCGATCTGAAAGAAAAAATACGATTTTTAAATCATTATCGGAAATGAAATACGTGCTTAATTAATTGAAGAAATTACGGTGTATTTGTAATGTTGCACAGAATCTGTAGTTGGGTCGTTTATGACAGCAAATTCGAATCGGCATTTATGTAACTATTGTCGATTTTTAAATATGAATTATGCTTTTCAAAAATAAAAATAAAAATGTGCTTGATTTTATTTTTAATTTTTTTTATATTGAAATGTTTATGTAAAATTTGGAATTATATTTTAATTATTTGTTCATTTTTAGTTGTAATTCGTAATCGATTTAACCTGTTATTAATTATCTTTAACAACTTTTATTAGAAAATTAATTAACAATTATTTCTTTTTTCATGGACAGGATTTGAGGATGAATTAATCGAGATACCATGTCTTACTGCGGATTCCATGGGAGAAGGGGAGACCACAATCACGTGCAGACCCTTGAATCACGTGCCCTTTTTTAAGTTTTTTATTATTCTAAAATTTTAATAATAATAATAATAATAACAAAAAAGTAAGTTATACCCGACATAGATGGACATGGTCACACAGAGAAGAAGTATCTCTCTCGATGTATCGATACAAATCATTACTTGTAAACGACTCATCAATGAATTAAAACTCGAACAATGCTTTGATTTTATTAAAAATTAAAATAAAAAGGAAAAAGGCAGTTAATGCTAAAAATAGTATGTTATATATTTGACAAATTAAAGTAGCTATAAGAAAAAAAAGCATGTTACATTATTTAGGCAGTATATTATACTATCCACGTGTGAGATTGGGAAACATTGTCTAAACCAACATATAATTAAAGGTATTAATTACTATTAGCCATGATTTATTTAATATTATTAAAAACCATAGCCATATCCTATATTAAACTCCCTTTTCACCTTAACAATAAACTTTATTTTTTTATAATTTAATTAAAAACCCACTCTTTGAAATTTAGATTGATATCAAACTCAAGCTTAGCTCAATTCGAGTAAAAATTTTAAATTTAAATCATGGTATTCTCGTCGATTGGGATTATTTGCAAAACCGATTTAGATTAGTGATATGCTTTAGATTAAGCATGATGGGTTCATGTTTCCTCTTCGAATTTTTTGATTTGAAGGACGAAATTTATAGATAATAAAGGATTATACCTTCCTTGTATTGTTTAATTAAATTTAAATACAAATACATTATCAATTATCTGAAAAAAATTCCTCCAATCCTTAACATATTTTAGGTTTGGGGACCAAATATTTTAGGTGCTTGGTCATGGCAAAAAGAGATATAAGTTTTTGGTAAGCTTTGTTGGCTTAATGATGGGTAGGAAAGTGATTCCATACATGGTAATTATTAGACATGGTGATGTCCTTCCTCACTTTAGGCCTGCATGCATTTGTAGTACTTTAAAAGAGAGAGGTTTTTCCTTCCTTTGTTAGCCCCACTTCCACCCTCCTCCTCTCCCTACCTTTCATTCGGCCTTTGCTTTGCTTTGCTCACTTGCTTTTTTCACTTTATGTTTGTTCTATACCCGAGATAAAGGTTAAATTTATGTTTAATTAATTCAAGGCATCAAAAATTGTAATCTAATTTGGTACTTTTACTATAATAGTAGTCTATATTTATAATGCATCCAAATCCCGTGCCCTCATTTATCGGCTCTTTTCATGCCTCGACTCTCAAAATAAATTATGTGTAATTTTTGTTCGATTTTAAATTTTAACTCGTTAAAAGAAAAGTAAATTTTTTATTAGATTAAAACGTAAACAAGTATAAAGAGAACACTCGAAAAATATAGAGGATTTGAATTCTATCTATGAGGTGCTGTCAATGTCAATATAATTTTCTTCAATTTTACGCAAACGTCGTCGTATACTGGCATGATTTTGATTAGACTTTGCCTTTCCTTCCCATAAAGCCTTACCAAACTGCAATTCCCAATATACTTTTTCATAGAACCGCAATCAACGGCCAAAGGCATAGACAAATCAACCCTTGCATGGAAATCCAATCTCATGGTAGCAATCTGATGTGTTTAGTTATTATTGGTCCAAACTTTCAAACCCTTGAAGCCCCAAACTCTGACTCATCATCAAAACAACCAATACCCATCAAACACGTCAATAACACTTAAACATTCATCCTCATTGAATCCTCAAAAAGGAAAAAAATCAAGAAAAAAAATAACGAAAAAAGGAAAAGAAACTCACTTTGCCACCTTTTCTCTCTCTCGCCTAGTGGGGCTATGGACACAATCATAACAAACTCAGCTCTAGAATTCTTGATTTCTCATAATGTAGCTTTTCCTTTGGACCATCTTTAAAGCTAAAATTGCACACCCTTTAAAGAGAGGACACCTTTCCTCTTTGCATTACACTCACATTCACATTCAACATTCTCATTCACATTCACTATTAATTAACATTTTATTTTGTGTTGTTGCATATATGCAATGTCAGCAGAATCTCAAGACTCCCCCATGGAAGGGGTTCCGGGTACACCTGGAATCCGGGAAGTGAGGCCCGAGTCCGGCTCCCACAACTTCGGGTTTTGCACCGAGACATGTCGTGTTCCGGACGGGGACTCAAACCCTGGAATAAGGAGGGTCAGTTTGAGGGCTGAGATTGACACCTCACCGCCTTTCGGGTCAGTTAAGGAGGCTGTGACCCGGTTTGGTGGCAGTGGACCTTGGGTGCCTTTGTACAAGTTTGCAGAGGCATATGTAAGTGTATTTATTTTTTTCCCCGCTTTTCGTTTGACGATGATGTAAGAAAGGTGTGGTTTGTCTTAATGGAATATATGCATGTAGTCCCAAAATTAGCTAATTATGAACAAAAAAATGGTTTTCTTATTTTAATTTGTATTTCCTGTTCATGGTTTTGAACATATTCATAGCTAAGTTTAATTGTGGTTGTCTAGATTATATGTATGTAACATTTATATATAGAATGTGTGTGTAAGAACATGGGAAGTTCAATTTTTCTATCTATTTTGTTGTCTGTTTTTTCTTGTTCTTGGTAATGTGTTTCTGATGGGCATGAGAAATTTTGATTGAGCAGCATGGAATTGAGGAGTTCGACATAAAGAAAGTGGAGGAGCAAGCAGCAGAGTTGGAGAAGGATCTGATTGTGAAAGAATTGGAGACCCTTGATGTGCTTGAAGAGCTGGGGACAACGAAAAGGATTGTGGAAGAGCTAAAGAGACAGCTCCAGAATGAAGCTCTGAAATGCATGACCACTCCAGACTTGAACTCGGATGAGCAGCACATGCCTGCTCCTGCTATCAAAGAAATGAACAAGGAACACTATGAACAGATCAGGATCGGGAGTTCGAGTCCATGCCCGGTTTTGTCTCCTGATTTGATCTTGATGGAGTTGAAACAGGCAAAACTGAACCTTGGTAAAACTATAAATGATCTTGGGGTGATTCAAACTTCTGTTGAGTCTCTAAATAAGAAAATGAAGAAAGAGAAAAGTTTACTTGAAAAGACCCGTGAGAGGCTAACTTCTAAGTTTGCAGGGGTGGCATCTCTAGAGGAGGAGCTTAAACAGGTGAGGGTGAAGCCGCAGATTGCCAACAATGGGAATTTTGAGAATTCTCCAAGCATTTTAAGGCCGCCTTTACACAACAATTCCAAGCCTGAGCAGTTTAAGAGAATGGCTGATCCTTCAAAAGCAATGCCACTGCCAGGGAATGAGCAGAACAAGCCCTGTGTAAAAACTGCTGAAATGAGGTGGGTTGCAGCCAAGAAGATGGAGGAAGCAGCCAGGGCAGCAGAGGCTCTTGCTCTTATTGAAATGAATGCCCTTACTGGGATGAAGGGTTTGTCAAGCAATGAGAACTTGTCAGGATTTTCCTTGCCAGAGCCGGTGCCGTCTCCTCGGACCCCAAAAGTTCAAAGGCCAGAAGAAGTTTCTAACAGCAGAGCAATTCATGCTATGCACAAATTTGCTGAAGCAAATATCTCCAAACTTGCAATCCTGAGGAAGCTGGAGGAAGCTTCAGAAGAAGTTAAACACAGTAAAGACGCATTGGAAGAGGCTCTTAATAGAGTGGAAATTGCAAGCAGGAAGCAACTTGATGCTGAAGAGGCTCTCAGGAGATGGATTCCAGAGCATGAACAGAAAAAACAGATAATGTATACTACTACGAAGATCAACAATTTCCATCCACCACATCATCCTCATCAGCATCTTCCGCGATCTCCATTGCATGATCTGAACAATCAAAACCCAACAATGGATGATGAAACAAAGCCTGTTTTAAGGCCAACAATTTCAATGAGGGATATCTTAAGCAGGAAACAAGTTACTCCTGAAGACTGTGCTGTGAGAAGGCCTAGTAATGAAGGCCACACCGGAAGGCAAAAGGTAGCTCTGAGCCAAATGCTTCATGAACTAAGGGAAGACCTGAAATTTCCTCCAAAACCTGATCAAAAAGATCACGGGGATGATCCAAAGCAGTACTTCACCCAGCGCAGAAAGTTTGGGTTCATCCACATATCTCTCCCATTGGCAAAGCAAAGCAAGAAGAAACCACAAGCTTTAAACACAATGTGATACAATAGAATAAATGGTACCCACCAAATTGGTAATCTGTGGTCATATACTAACATTTTTTAATATATTATATCCTGTCTGCTCCAATTTGTTTGTGTTGTTTTTGGGTGATTCAATTCATGTTTGTTGGCTTCTGGTTTGAAACCTTCCTCTGGTGTAAAGGTGTTCTATAAATTTATATGTATCCGTGTGTTCTGCAATCAGCCCTGAAATATATTTGATGGGGCCCCTGGAATCTCTTGTTATCTATATCAAAACAAGGCATTGAAATGGTGATGAATTCTTTTGCTTGGCAACTATCTTCCATTCCTCCCATTTTGTCTTTTCCTTCATGTTGCTGGTATAGTTTCAAACACAGTTGATTACTAGTGGCAGACTGATATTCGTGCAAATTTAGTGCTGAAAATTGAGTGGGTTGGAACTATGATTAATGGGGAAACATAAAGAGATCATGAAAGCTATAATTGGTTATAATCTTTTCTTTGTTGACAATTAACATGAAAGCTATAATTGGTAATAATTAGAGCTAATGAAATCTTTAAGGTGACAGGATTAGAGAAGTCAATTGGGCTTGGTACTAATATCATAATGAGAAATTCTAGCCTTACTCATTGACTAAGAAAATTAACTTACATCAATCAAATATTTGATACAAAATAATAAAAGAGAGAGAGAAATGATCATAATTTTAATACTATTATTTGAAATTATTATTTTACATATCTAGATAGAGTTTTTTAAATTCATAAACGGATTTATGAATTGTCAAGTATCCATTTAATTATTAAATAATTAATTTTTAACTATATTTTAAAGACTTAAATAAATACGTAGCAAATTATTAAACATATTTCATGATTGATGAATTAAATCGGCTTTAAAAGTAGGTTGAGTTTGATAAATCATTATATTGAATATTTTTTATCATGATAATTGTAACTCGATAAATTAACATATAATATGTAATTAAAATTATTTAAGTACATTATAAAACATTTATAAGCCCAATACTTAATATGGAATACTATTTCAAGTTTGACAAAAAAATTGGAAATTATGTTTAGGTGATAATTTTTTATTATTCATCGTATTTTGATTTGTTGAATTCATAATTATCGTTAATTATTTTTACTTTAAATTAGAAGTAATGTTCCCACAATTAGACTGTTTTTATTTCATTTATCCAATCATAATTTGACACGTCTAAAACTTGAGAGGCAATAAATCTTACGTGTCATCTTGTGATTTGTGTGTCCTTATTTTGTCGTAATTAGATTTTCCAAATTCTCTTTTACCGCGGGAAATTGATTTCTTTCGCTTTAAGTTTCTTTACCGTTTGGTGGAATTCATTTTCCTTCCCGCGAAAAAATAGTTGTGCATTTTAGCAACTCCCCTAACTTGCGCCGTACTGAAACAAGAAGTCTATGGTGTAAATACAATTCAGACCCTCATATTTTCATTTTTTTCCTTTTCCATATCCATTTGGTCTTTTCGAGTTCGAGTTATAACAAGTTCGAGCATTTTGAAATAAAAATTTATTTTGGTTATTTCGAGTTTGAGTTAGAAAAAAAATTAATAACTGAATATTTATATTTTTAATATTAAATTTAAATTATAACGATGTTGAATGAATTGATTTCGAGTTTAGATGGTTTTGAAGAATTTTTTAAATTTGAATTTTTGATTTTTTAATCAATAAGAATTTGATCAGATTCGAGCATTTTTTATTCAGTTCTGTTTTGACACCTCTAAATATGATTACATGTTAATTTTTTAAAAAGATAAATATGTTTAACAAAATTTAATACTAAATTAACCTAATATGGTAATTTAATAAGACATTGAAATTGGGAGTTGAAGGTGTTAATTGATAAACACAAAAACTAGAGTGTAGTAATCCAAGAACCAAAAGAATGTCCGTAGCGATTCATCACCATGGGCCTATGATAGCAAGACCCACGACGGCGATGAGCCGAAAGAGAGTGCTTTTCCGTGTTCCACACTTCCACTTACTAAAATGAAGTGTGACCATAATGAAGTGTGACCATTGTTTGCTTATTATTATTATGGTTTAATTTGTTTTATATAAAAAGTGGAGAAAATTGCAGAGCTTTAATGGCGAATCATCCAAGAACCCGCAAAAGGGTCCATGCTACTATCCCACGCCGTGCCGCTGATGGTAGCGCCTTTGAGAAGTGGTAATATGTACTCATATTCCCATATTCATACATTTACTAAAAGACATTGCTTTTTTTGATCAAATGATCATAGGTTTTCCAATGCTTCATTTTGGGTGATTTTGAGGATTGGGTTTTTGATATCGTAACGTATTTTGAATCCTAAAGTGATGTTTGTGGTGAAATGGTGGCAATTGCTTTGGCTGACATGCACGAATGCGGGACTGAGAAGAAAGAGCTGAAGAGGTTTAAGGGCATTGTTGGAACTCAAAATGTTGTCAAACCGACAGTTCCTTGGCAACCCAGATCAGCCTTTAGTAGTTTCATGTAAACTTCTTAATTCTGATTCCTTTCTTTACTTGTCATTCTGCTATATTATCCAGTTTTTTGGTTGCTCTGTTTGGTAACATTTGAGAAAGTCTAACGACAGGGATTCAAACCTCAAACCTTTAGCCTTAACTTTGTAGATTACTAGGCCATGCATATGCATACCTTTTTCCTTTGCTTTTGTGGCGTATTTACTCTTTATTTATTGTAGATTGTTGAGTAGATTGAAGTCTATGCTTATATATGCACATAGGATTGGTTGTCTTTATGTTCTTGTTTGTGTTTGTAGTGTACTGTGTATATGTCTGTCAAATTTCTCAACTTTTTGTATGTTCAAAGTTACAACTTTGGAGGAGACAGGGATTCGAATCTGATTCTTTGTTTATTAATTTGTTACTATAATTGGTTATGAGTCCTTATTTACATACCATCAGTTAATCATATTTGAGATTCTGCTTGGTTGGTGAGAAAATTGATCAAGAAAGAAGTGAGATCCAATAAAGGAACTAAACAAGCAACTGCATGAAAAATATATAGTTAAAAGATAGTACAAACTAAATTGAATTATGCTTCTGTTTTGGTGGGCTTTCTAGGGAAAGCTTTATGATCGACAACAAGAATGGAAATTTGATTGATATTGATAGAAGGGGCTTTGAGACTTGGAAAAATATGTGCAAGGAGGTAATGGTCATCCCAATATGTTGTTGCTAATACTAGGAAGTTGTATGTTGGTATCTTGTATTGAATGTCTGTACCTTTTTGTATTATTCTTTACAGGAGAGGCAACCTTATGTTACTCAAGCCGAAAAGGTGAACTCAGCCTACACAAAAACTGTAATTGAAGAGGAGAAAAATGTTAAAGAGGTAATTGGACTTGAGAGTTTATGGATATAAATTTCATTTAAACTGTGTCTAGAGCAACATCAATGCTCTCTTGGCATAATTGGTGTAATAAATTTTTGTTCTTTCCATCAAATTGTGGGTAGCCTATGGATGTTTGGTCACTGAACTTGTTGTGTAGATTCTGAAATGGGAAGTTGTTTGTGAATTCTGTTTTGTACTGTTATCGGCTGTGATTCACTTGTTAAGGGACAATGTTGTTAGGGTCAAATTCCATTCACACGATAGATATTGAAAAAAAGCGATAGGCCATCCTAAGACAAGATTATGCAAAGATATGTGATTTTGGACACCATGGTCTTCCCATCTTTACATAATTTACGTTACTATTCAGCTTCTTCCAACATTGTTTTGTCATCATAATTGCTTTTCGATTTAAATGTTTGTTTTAGTAAGACTCTGTCTCTCTCTCCTTTTTTTTTGTCCAGAAGAGTAAAAATCAGTATATGAAAGCACTTTTCTTTTTCATCTTTTTTTATTTTGCAACTGTATGGTTGCATGATGAGGCTTTCATGCACTCCCTAGCCATTGATTTTTCTTGATAAATTGGCTTATCAATATCTTTCTCCCTCATGGGTTCTTGAGCCAAATTCCTTTGCTTTCTGAACTAGGAAGTTAGTATATTGATTGTCCAAAATAAAATAACCCTTTGCATCTATTCTTCCATATCTAATGTTGTCAAGCTTTAGCAATGAGGTTTTCTTCTGTAGGTGGATGATGATGAGGCTGATTCAGCAATGGTTGGGAAATTTGATCAGGTTTGTATATTTGGGGCTGAGAAAACATCATGAATATTTAAAACAGGGCAAGGGAATAAGTTTATATCTGCCTGATTTTAATCGTTTTTTAACAAAGTAGTTGCATGCTATTTTTTTTTATCATTTCTTATTCATGGAATTTACAGTTCTATGAAGACAGTGAGTACCATGGGACATCTGATAATGATGAACCTTACCAGTCTGGAGGACTTGAGAGCTTAAAGACGTCAGAATGGTACTTTTCATTCTTTCTGCATATCTAACATAACTGTAATCATATGGAAGATAGGTGCAAAGTGAAGTACTTCTACTTTTCAGTTTGACTTCCTTCAAAACTAACATAAAGTGCAGTCCTATGTTGTGCTCAGCATTACTAAGTTGTGACCTTCATAAAGCAGGGAAATGCAGCAATCAGGGACCGCTTAAGCACTCCAGCTCAAGCTGAGGACTGAACTTAAAAGGTTTCCATTTTGTCAAACCTTTTGTTTAATGTCAATGGGACTATCACAATTGGCAGTGGTGGAAAAACTTTGCCACTTCATCATTTTGTGAAGGCAAGTCATTTGGCTATTGTAAAGTAGTTGTAGGAGTTTAGCTTTTCTACCAGATTGGTATTTGGTTTTGTTACTTGGCATGGTTGAAGGGGGAGTTTCACACATGAAGGGTTGAGAGTAAGCATTTTTTCGTCCATATTTTTGTTTTGTAATATTTCTCTCAGAATATCTCTTTCATACAAATATATTCAAAGCATCTTTTTGCAAGTTGAAGCTTTCCCTCCCTCCCTCTTTCCCACTCTCAAATAATTTTAGGGATGAATTTAGATTGTTATAATATCTCGTGATAGAGGTGGCAAAAGACTGAGCAGCAACATCTGAGTATTTGGTTCATTAGTTGGTGTATTATCTTTCTGTCTAAGGAACAGGATTCGAATTTCCTTTCACTCAAATATAAAAAAAGAAAAAAACTGAGCAGTGGGTTTCGGTCGATTATTACGGTTCGATTTACGAGTTCAGATTATTTTAAGTTCGGGTCTGAGGTTAGGTTAGAATGAAATTGATAATTAAATTTTGCATTATTAGTGTTAAGTTCGGGTTATTACTGCTTCAAGGTAGATCAATCTAGGGCTCAAGTCATTTCTTTTTCATATTGTTTTGGATTTAGGTCATTGAAGTTCAAATTATTCAAATTTGAATATAATTTTTTAATCAATTCGGGTTCAATGTCCGGTTTATTGAACTTTTTGATCTCTTAAATCCAATTTTCTAATTGAAGCTACCAATATGAGTATTTCTCTTATGGCCTTGTTAAAAATTTGATGCCTTTAGTTTGTTATATGATAAAATTTAAATTTTAATATTTTATTTAAATGAATATATTAAATAAAAATGTCAATAAAATTTTCTTGCCATTACCATTGTTATATAAAAAATTTAAATTTTAATATTTTATTTAAATGAATATGTTAATTAAAAATGTCTAAATTTTTCACTATTCATCACAAGTTACTATACACAATTATATCATTTTAATAAATCCCTTATTATTAAATTTTAATTATAAATTTCAGGAAAAAATTTTCATTTAAATCGATAAAAGTAAGAAAATTAAAAGGAAATTTCTCGATATTTAACTTAAGCCAATTATTACAAAAAATTTATTTCATCCAAAAAACCCTTTAATTTAAATTTATGGGCCATAAGAAAATTTATAGAAAATAAATCCAAAAATAGTAAAAATAAACAAATCCAAAATAGTAATTTTCCATTTTTGTGGTATGAGCTTAACATGACAATCACGTGACATCCTCAAACCTTACACCAAAAAATAAAAAACAAAAAAGGGTTTATAAAGCTCTCCTTGTTTCATCATCTCTTGTTGTAAGCCTTGGAGCCCAAAAGAATGGATACTAATATGAGAAGCTCTTCTGCTTTACTTCAACTGAGACCTTCCTTTTGTTTCTCTCACTCACTCTCTCCTTCAAAGCTAATATTATCGGTTTGTTTTTTTTCTTTTTTTCCCCAATTTTGGTGACCTTTTTAAGTGGATTATTGAATTTTATTGTTGATAATTATTGCTTGTTTGTTTTTTTTAACAGAAATCAAAGCGGTTAAACTTGGTTCAACAGCGTTTAGTGATAAAAAACTCAAGTGGGTTTGATGGAAATGGCTCTGTTAATGGCTTTCCAGTTAAACCCAACAAGCTTTTCATGCAAGAGGTACCCTTTTCTCTTTTATTTTGTAGTATTTTTCATGGATTCTTTTAACTTGTTTGTTATGTGTTGAAAACATGGTAATTTTTATATCTGGGGTTTTTGTGAATTTTCTCATGGTAAAGGAGATATTTTTCCAGTAAAATATTTTCGTGCAAGCTTTTTTCTCTCTCTTTTTTGGGGATTTTCAAGGGTATTTTTTTACTTGTTTTTTATTGTTTTGAGTGAATTAATATGGCATTACTTAAAAAGTTGGAGTTTTGATATCTGTGGTACATGTGTGTTTTTTATCCTGAGCGAATGAAGATAATTTTTGGTAAGTTCTGTGAATTTAGAGGGAAGAGCAGTTCTGGGTTTAGTATGTTAATTTTTTTTGGTTGATAAATTTTTATGGTTTTTTTCTGGTTTGTTTGCCTTAAGGCAATTGGAGCTGAGTATGGAGAAGGTTTTGAGACTTTTAGGCTGGACGGGCCATTAAAGGTTGATGTGGTAAGGAATTTAAGTGACCCTGCACTCAGCTGACTGGTTATCAGAGTTTTCAATGAATGGCTGTCTTATTGGCTTACGTGTTTTAAACTTTTGGTTTGAATAGGATTACTTGAATGATAGATTACAAGAAGGTTTTCTGAAGCGAATTCGCTATGCCATGAAACCAGATGAAGCATATGGTCTCATTTTCTCTTGGGATAATGTTGTGGTAAGTCTTAAATATTTTCCATGCCACAAAGAGTCATATGATCATAGATATATACTTTTGGTCAACGTTTTATGTATACTTTTCCTGTTGATTTGGGATTATATATAGTACTTAAGTTTGTGATATAACATTCTTGACCAAATACTGGGATATAAATGACTATCATGACAAATACTTTTTCAGCTTCATTTCTCTTTTAATAAGGTACTTGGGTTTATGCTTGAAACTTTTCATGCAGTGGGGTGTTAGATGGAAACACCTTAATATGCTAAATTGAATTTTAGCATGCATATTTTGCTTTATGTCATGTGATTTCATCTTTGGCATGTTACAGTCGGATACTCGAGCCCTGAAGCTAAATGCCTGGAAACAACTTGCCTTTGAAGAGGGTATGTATCCTTTCTTCCCATATATGTGTTTATGATTCAGTGCTGGGGGATAGAGGATAGTTGGATGAGTTTTGATTGTTTTTGTGTATTTTGTTCTTCATAACCTTGTACAGATGATGGGAGAATCTTTGTTAGCTGTTGTCAATGTTTGTCTGATTGGTCATCTTCTAAATGTTTTAAGTGCCTTCGTAATAGTTAAAGATGACTTTCAGATTTATGAACATCAAAATCAACTGTAAGCTTGAATAGGGGCTTGAATTTTCCTTTCCTGTATAATGGAGGAGTATCTTAGCTTAGTTGAATCGCTAGCTTGAATTGAATTTTGTTACTTTTTGCTAATTAAGCTAGAAGTCAGCCTTTGAATTATAAGTTTTTCTGCCATGTAGATCCCAATGTTTCTTTGTTGAATTGGTGCAGGAAAGGAGATTCCTGATGAGGGTGATGCTCAAAGGTTGATGCTTTCTGCAGGTGCTGATCATGTATTGCGTAAGGTTTGGCAGTTTGTGGTCTTTATTATTTGGATTATGTTTTGTGATATATAGCTATTTAAGCATGACACATAGTTTCTTAGGATGCATTCTGATGTTTTATTTATATGACTCAGAGGGCAGAGTAATAAGTCAATCGGAGTAATTATGTAATTTGTAAAAGTAGTTTCATGGTGATGTTTTCTGAAGAGCCGTAAAGTTGCAAAAATTCTTATCATCAATTTATTGGTTCTTACTTGTGATTGTATTTGGTGTCAGATTTGTTGGTTAGAATTGTTTTGTTGTACTTCTTTGCCTTTGTTTATCCTTTCATGAAATTTAATCTCATTTTTAGCAAATACAATGAGAAAGAAAGCTATATTAGATGAGGGATTCTTGGTTTGGGCAAATTTAAATGTATAGGAACCGAAATATTAACCCTAATATTCAGCTTTCGTCATTAATCTCTTATGAATTCATTTGTTCCTTTCCTGTCAATCTGATTAGTTTCTTTTTATGCTATTTCTTTTTGGTCTCTTACCAATTTCCAAAATTTCTAGATCTTGTTCTGGGAGACTGCAGAAAGTGAAGTGGATAGATTGAAGTTGAGGCTCTTACAGATTTATTATGATAATCTTCTAAAGGTGAGAGCTTGTTCAATTGATTTCATGGGTTTTTCTTTTATCTTTCAAGTTAACAAACCACATTGCTACGTTCATCTTCAATCAGCTAGAAAAACCAATGGATGGCCTAAAAGAATGGCTTGATGCTGTATCTACTGCTCGCATTCCTTGTGCTGTGGTTTCAAGTCTTGATCGAAGGAACATGGTTGATGCCCTAGAACGATTTGGCCTCAAGAAGTATTTCCAGGTTCATCGTCTTTCTAAGATTTTTGATGTATCTCTTGTATGATGGCAACTAATTTTGGTACAGTTTTGTTATGAAGCCCTGTGGAATGGGATGCTTAATATGTCATAGTATGAGCATAGCAGTTATGAGCTTGACAGGCAGATAATTTGTATGCCACTATGGTTCCATACAATTAAACTTCAATTTGTTCTGTCCTGAGATGCCACTATTCTAGTTTTCTTGTTGAAAGTATATTCTTTTCTTTCTTGTATTAGCATAAAAAACATTACATTTGGGGCAAAAATTGAATAAAATTTAGATGACCATGTACATTGTGTAATGCTCGATATGAAAAATGTATAATTTTTGTTGCATCCTCTGATGATGGTTTCATGACAATTTAGAAAAGACAGTCAGCATAAAATGTTTCCAGTCCATATATAAAATTATAACATTTGCCGTAAAATTCTTTTATTGTTCACAGCTCACAATAATATTACATAATGCAGGGAATAGTTTCAGAGGAAGATGGTATGGAGTCAATAGCTCATAAATTTCTGTCAGCAGCTATGAAGGTATGGTCCATTTAAAGATCACAGCATTATGTATCTCACCTATCATTGTTGGATTATTTGTCCTCTGGATTACCCATATAGTTTGGGATCTACATATTGATTTGTTATATTGCTGTGAGCAACTTTGATGGTTTTTTTTTTTAAATTTTTGTTTATGTTTTCTTAAGATGTTTACTGCAATATTCAGAAAATTTTTGATTCTTTCAGTTTCCTTGAAGTAACAAGGTGAATTTTACTGTCTTATGGATATGTTGAAAAGTTGTCCATCAATCTGTGTATGTGAACTTTTAAACCAATCTATGGCAGTAACGTGTCATGTCTGTTCACTTATCCAAACTAGCCACAACTGGCATGACTGAGACCTGTTTTATGAAGCCCTACCTTGAGATTATTTCAGATTATAGGCTTGAAATATGTGGATCAATTGGAAGCATTGCTTTCCGATAGCGGAAAAGTTGGACTTTTTGTGCACATGGACGTGCAGTGAAGCTGCGACTATAGATGTCAATTGCAAGAGATAAAAAAGAGGAAACAAAAAGAAAGAAAAACTATAGATGCCAATTTGGTTAGGATAATTTTGAGACCTTATTCTTTAGTTATCTTGTGATATAGATGAAGCACATGCACCTGAACGCATTTAATTTCTCATTGATTTTATTGAAAAAGGTAGTTGAGTTGTTATATTGTAAATCTAAAAGTGTCTGGGTGTTTATAGATGTCCTACAGAGAAAATACTATTGAAGTCAACTATAGAAGCTTCTTTTTGTTAATTTGTTCTTCTCTGTTTTTGATTTACTTCCATTAATTCTTTGCAGCTGGATCGTAAACCATCCAAGTGTGTAGTTTTTGAGGATGATCCTCGGGGCATTACTGCAGCTCACAACTGTACTATGATGGCTGTGGCATTGATTGGTGCTCACCCTGCGTACGTGTTTCACACAACATAGATACATGCTATCATTACTACATGCACACTTTATAATTGCAACATTTGAAAGAAACATATATCTATGAAATGTGATTATTGCACCCAAATATTTCCTTATCCCTTTATAACAAGAAATTATGAGATATATCTATCTTACCACATCCGTTGTAGCTCATAGGCAGCATATTTTAAAAAGCAAGGGTGTAAATGTAAGCATCTTATGGTTGAGAGTAGTTTTTAAATTAATATTTAGAATATAGGATTCAATATATTTATATATATGAATGCTAAATTGTTAATAGTTTGAAAAAAAAAAGTTATTTAACAATTTTTTATTTATGTTCTAAATACTATTCTTGGTTGCTAGAAATGCAATCACACAAGCAGAGATTTGAGAAGAAGAATTGACATGTTCATTGGGGGTTGTACTCTTATTGTCATTTTCCTATAGAGTCATCTGAACAGGCATGTTACATGTCGAACCCTTCTCAGGTAGAAGATTTAGTCAAATAACAACCGATCCCTAAATGCTAAATGCCATAGCAAACAAACATAAAGTAGGGAGAATGCCTTAACAGCAGGTGATCTACTGTTGCCTTGCACGTTACCAAACAGTGGCAGTATAGCTGATAGGTCATTGCCTGATATGTTAGCAAATTTGTCACCTCAGCTTAAATGAGACCTGGGCAGTAACTTTACCACATTAGTAACAAATTTGGTCCAATTTAAATGGATGTGGCAAATTAATTAATTTGTCTTGCTTGATTTTTTCAGTCACCATCTGATAGGAAGGAACTTGTTTTCTCACAACTTTGCACTTTTAATTTAGTTTGTTCTTGTAGTTAGAGAGCCTTCTGTAACCTACAAACTATATATTCAGAAGTTGATTGACATGAAAACATGCAGGTATGATCTGGTGCAGGCTGATCTTGCAGTTGCTAACTTCAATGAGCTTTCAGTGATAAATCTTCGAAGATTATTTGCTAACAAGGGTTCTACCTTCATGGACCGGCAAAAGCAGATCATAGAGAAAACTCCTCCCAAAAGGAAGCTTACAATTGATACCATATTCTGATTCGTTTTTCACCTTCCTCCCTTTCATTCGAAATTTGTCCCTGTAATTAACACTGTAGGCAGGACAATTGTTTCCATTTTATATTCCCATGTTAGGAATATGTTTTGCCATACAGCATTCTTCTGATTGTACAGTGGATAGGTTAATTCAATTCTCATCACTGTGGAACTTCACAATAAATATACATGTTACAACTGAGCATCTGTAGACAATCCAGAGTGCTGTTGGAATTTTGTGCAGGATCAGTGAAAATAATTCATTTTTTCCCTGGTTATTATTATGCTTTTACTGCTTTTACCTTGCAATACTTCTAGCCAAAATTATTTCTACTTCCAACCTCCCAAATGATTGATATTGCTTAGCATGGGGGAATTTCAGGTGCATTCTGATCCAATTTCACATTTGGACACTGTATATTCATGCTTATATCAGGGGTGGATTTATTCTAAGACCAGGGCTCCAAAAAAGTTTTATATTTATAAACATCACACTGCTTATCTGGGACTATAGGCAGCATGCCATGTCTTCAGTCTTGCAGGCAAAAGTTGACAACAGGACTAATGACATATATTTTCTTTAACTCGAGTTTATTTGATCCAAAATATAAATTCAAGGACTCAATCACAACCTTTAAAGTTAATCACCGGATAAGAACTTGTAATCTTTTTAAAGGTAAAAACCTATAAATTTTGGCTTGAGCCAGATAAACTTGTCAGCCTCATTGATCTCTTAATTGGTGTAGCTTTAACATATTTTTGGCATGTTAGGTTGACATTCATATAATCAAGAATCAGGAAATTTGGAAGGAAAAATGTTGAATTTGGATGTAAACAAGGCATATAATTTCAGATAAAACTATAAGACAATTACATATAATTCTGGACAAAATTCACTGTAAAAGAAGATGATGAAAGTTATTACAATTCTCTCTGACTATTCATGAGACTGTCCAATATCAAGAAAATCACTTGACCTTCACTCATACTGATACAAGCTTAATTGACCGATAAAACAAAAAAGAATAGTTTACTTACCATCTACTCAGCATACAAATGAGCTTCTGGCTCTCATAAGAGGCAGAAATCCTTGCAAGGAAAGGCGAGTAATAAGCTCAGGAATCCGTGTTGGCTTGAGAGGACAGCGATACAAATTATTTTTCATTAGCCTTGTGCTAAACCGGCAACCTGATCATGAATTCTACCCACTTTACATTCTCTTCTAGTACCCTTTTCTCCTCTGTCATTATGTTCCTCTCCAGCTTCGTCACATACACATTCTATCTGAACATCTTTTAAAAGAACAGTTACCTTGCCCAACCTGCTAGAAGCTCCATATTCTCCATCACTTTGCCTCTGTCAAATTTCATCACTTCCCCCATGTTTAATTCCCTTAATTTCCAATTCTTTTTGCCCTGTTCTTTCGCCAATTTCCTCCTAGTCTTAAACTTATTTCTCCATTTGCAGCATTGCAGGCAAGTGAAAACACTAAAACCCAGAGACAATCTCACATCCATGTATACACACACCCATAAAGACAAAAGCCCTCATAGACAATGAAACTCCAGATGTCAAACAGAAGAAAAAGAAGGCATGAGGAAAATCAAAATTGAAACCAAAAGATAAATGTATTGTCTTAAAAGAAACAATTAAAAGCTGTTTCATAAACAGGACAACTAAAAAACTGCTAACTAAAGTGTGAAAACTGAGCCGACTTCAGAAATTTTATCTCATCATTCAAAATGACTCTGATTCTACAACTTCAGAGCACTTATGCATACAAATGTTTCGTTGTCTCAAACAAGTTCTCTCATTGTTTTTAACAGCATCATGGCACTCAATGCAGTGAACAGAAACACAAAACTCATTGACATAGAAGTTAGCTTGAACTAAAATTGGATTGTGCAAATGAAATAAAACAAGAAATTTCTGGCTCTATTTCTATTATTATTAATGAGAGAGCTTACCAGTTCAAGTACCGAAGAATCACAGCACTTTCAGCTGCATTTCAGATCAAGCTACTACCAAGAAAACATTGCATTCATCCAAGAGTCCTCACAATAATCAAACATAAAGGATTAAGGCATAAAGCAGTGGATGGGGAAGAAAATGAGTGTTGTCAAGCATGCTTCCCAAGGAAATCAGTAATGTCCATTCCTTAATCAATGCCAGTAAGAAAATTTATTCAAACGAAACCAGAATTTTAGGCAAGCAACATCAATTATTTACTTTTTCCTTTTATTATCTCTTTCGCATAACAATCTCACATTTTCCTTTCACTTTGTTCTTTTTTCATTTTTAAATTTCTTTCTTGTATGTATAATACTTATTCAATTCCTAAGAAAAGCATGTCTGTTCTAACATTAAACAATATAGCACCAAAAGTAACACAAGCTTAATGGACAAAAAATACAACAAAAGCAGCTACGTTTTTGCTTTACCAATAAGCAGAGGAAAGTAAAAACAACTAATTTCAGTTGAGTATAACATAATTTCCTTCCTTCTTAAAATAAGCATAATCAATCAATTTGCTATGCCCATCATGCATCATCTATTTTAACAAGAAAAAGCAACTAATCAGGAACCTTAAGTTGCAAATGTCAAATAAGACTATGCAAAAATTGCATAATTTTATATCATAATAAATCAATGCAACAGATGTTAAGAGTAACAACTCATTCTATCCAGCTATCATACCAGAAAACATCCAATATACAAATAAAAGTCAACTACCTTTACATTTTATTTGAGCTTCAGCGACAATACTATGCATAAAGTGATTGAATTATACTCTAGATGAATTCAGAAGGAGAATTGGAATCAGGCTTCACATTGTCACCCAAACCTCCAGCATTGTGCAAATTTTGCAAAACTTGAGGAGGCAAACCCCCCAAACCAGCTCCTAATCCATCATTTGCTGAACCATAAAACTGACAAAAGAGTCTAGACATAACCCCAAGAATCTGCATTTGGTTCTGGCATGCATCCATGTGCATTTGCATCATTGTTTTCTCATGTTCAATCTGCAATCCCACCAACCTCTCCTTCCATTCCATCTCTTCCTCTTCACGCTTCTCCTCCATTCTCCTTCTCCTTCTCCTCTCCTCATCCAATTCCTTCTCTAACCTCAATCTTCTGTCACCCTCCCTCCTAGCCCAAACCAACTCCCTTTCCTCCAACTCCATTTCCCTATCCTCCACCCTCTCCTCCCTCTCACTCCATCGCTTCTCCTTGCCAAATTCCAACTCTCTCCTCTTTTGCTCCCTCTCCATCTCTCCTTTCTCTCTTACAAACTCTCTTTCCTTCCTTTTTTCTTCCCTCCTCACCACCACATCTCTCAACTCCAAAACTTGTGCCCCAAGCAAACCAAACCCCTTACTTCCTCCTAAACCTTTCCTCGATTTTCGAACCCGAGAAATACCAATATCACCAAATTCCCTCTCTCCTCCAAACTCACCCTCACTCCCGACCTTCTCCTCACCACCATCATCTCCATCCCCATCCCCATCAACACCATCGTCTTCCTCTTCCTCCTCAAAATCCTCACTATCAATTTCAAACCCCAAGTCACAGCAATCCTCAAACAAATCACTCCCATTACCATTACTTTCACTTCCTTTCTTCCCTTTAACTTCAAGTTCCACATCACCAAAAACCTCTTTATACTTCAAAAAGTTTTCCCAATGATTCTCACCATCTTTCCAATTAAACTCATCCTTTGAAATCCTAATCTTCTGCTTCACCCCCAAGTACTGGTGCCTCATGTTTTGAACCTTAATAGACACATCACGCCAAGACCATTTGAAAGGAAAAGTAATGGGATCTTGAAGATGATGGACTGAGTTAACGTGGTCAGCTATAGGCTTGAACTTTTTCTCTCTGGTTTTCAGTTTGGATAAAGTTCCTGAATTGAGAAGATCAGAGTATTTGGACAAAAGGGTTTGTTCTTCAAGCTCTGACCACTTCTTTCGTTTCATTTTTGTAGGAAGATCTTCTGGGAGGGCGTTGGTTTGGTTTTGAGGATTGTTTGAACAAAAGGACTTCAAGCTTGTCTGAAAAAGCCACAGGACTCAACTAAGCAGTAGTTTTGATTTGAGAGATTTGGGGGTCGAAAGCTTTTTCCGTTTTTCTTCTAAATGTAAACTTTGAAAAAAAAAAAAAGGACAAGTAAATAGGGCAGTAAAATAATAAAGTGGCATTACAAAAGTAAAACTGAGGTGGCAAAAAAAGACAAGACGACTTTTGGCTTTGGGACATCTCTAAAGATTACATTTTTTCATTTTCCTTATCTTCCTTTCTATCTAAACCCTGTCAAACACCCTGCAGGAGTTTGAAGAAGCTTTATAGATGAGTTGAGAGTTGAGGCCCAGCTACAGAAACAAACTCAGAGACTGAAACTTTTCAGGCGGTTCCAATTGATTCCCAGAAACAATGTCTTGTAGCTCAGTTTCTTCCTTCACTTCTTCTCTCTTTGTCCCTCCAAAGAAATCATCTTTTTCCAATCACAAGCCCAGATTCATCCACTGTTCCCTTGGAGGTACTCAATTTTTTTTTTTCAATTTCAAATGTTAAAATTTTATTTAGTACATTCTTGTTGGATGTTTTCTTGGTTTGTTTTGCTTTCTGTTGTGGGAGTGGCAAGAGACCAAGTCAAAATTTTGGAATCTTAGAAAGTTAGGAGCCTAAGCCTGAGAACCTCTATGTCTAAGCTGAATTGCGTTATTTATTATATTGCAATTATGGGTTCATTGGTTCAAATTGAGATGCAATTATGGTTTTAGTGAATGAAGCTCATTTGATGTATGGGCTTCGTTTTCGAAAAGTTGCTTGAAATTATGAATGGGCTAATATCAAATGTGAGAATTAGAAGCCATTGTTAGATGTGATGGTGATTAGTTAGTAATGTATAAGTTCTAGCTGAAGTCTTGGGAATGGCTGTTTTGAGTAAGATTGCTGAAGGCTAGAACTAGGACAGTGTTGCAATCACCATTAGCTATGCTTTGATGGAACCATGACACTACGACAAGACAATGACCCTCTTGTGAAAGAGAACAACTATGGCATAGAAAGGCATTGAGACTTTTCTTTTTTTGTATTCTTGGGGAAGATAGAAGAAAAAATCTGGAAAGAATTTTCTTCTATGTTCTTTGTTCATGTCTGCTGTCCTTGATTTATTTGTTATTACTGGCGATATAACAAAATTCGAGTAGCATGCTTGTTACTAATGCATGATCATGATCACACTATATCTGGCTATAGTGGCCTGTTTGATATTGATAATTGTTTGAGAAAGCATGAATAATATTGGTCTGGTTCAAATTACCTTCAATTTCTTTAATTTCAGTGTGGCATATCCTGATAGCTTCTTTACATTTGCATCCCCTTGTATGTGAGAATAATATTGGTCTGGTTCAAATTACCTTCAATTTCTATAATTTCAGCATACAGGTCCTGACAGCTTCTTTACATTTGCATCCCTTTGTATATGAGCAGCATGTTTCCTTTTACAAAATCATACATTGTGATGGTTCTCTATTCCTCAACTATTGTTATTTACCAGGCCTGACTGCATATCCGACCATATCTAAGTTTGCTGAAAATTGCTGATTTATAAGTTTTATCTGTAAAATTCTCACTTAGGGACCGTAGTAGGACCAAAAGCTACTGCCACTGCTGAACCCCTTTTGCTCAATGCTGTTCGAGGGCAAGATGTTGAACGACCACCAGTTTGGCTTATGAGGCAAGCAGGGAGGTACATGAAGGCAGGTTTTGAATCTGTGATGGTTTGAAAAGAAAATATTTTTTTCATGTGCTGCATTTACTTTGGTGATTGCATAACTAGATTGTAACTTCTAAACTCCTAAATGTCTGATTCATGTTTCTGCTGTCAAACCTTTTTTAGAAGAAATAAGATTTATCAATGATTCCCTTTAATAATACAAGTGAAGGGTAATAGTAGGCTATATCACATTTCTCTTAATGAGGATTGTATGGGCAAAGTATAGACAAATTCCTAGCACAGTGCTCCTTTATCAGGAGGGTCCAACTTCCAAGTTCTAATCATTAAAAAAAATGAAAAAGAGAAAAGGAAGGAAAAGAAAAGGGAGAGTATATTACATGGAGTGGAATGAGAATTTCCTTAAAAACTAACCATATAGCACTTGCCAGGTTTTAGTAAGTTATCTAAAAGGTTGCTTTTTATGCTACTGTGAAATAAGCAGAAATGACAAGTATATTTTGCCAATATTTTTGTGGTATTGTTTGTGTTGGCAATATTTATGCTAGCTTTGCAGGCTTCTTTTTGCAAAGGGATAATGTCTTGTTTAGTCCCTGAAATTTAGGAAAATCTCTAATGTGGTATCTCTACTAAAAACATGTTCAATGTGGTACCTCGACTTACATTTTGTCTATCTATTTAAGCCAACCCCTTAACACTGTTAATGGAAGCTCATGAAGTGGCTGTCAACTAACCAAATTGTGACATATGGCCAAATAAATGTCATGTCACCCATTGGGGCACTTTCCATTTGAACACATGGCACCATGTGACTTCCATGTGTCTCAAAATTACTGGTGCATCCCTTTGGAAGAAATTTTGTGACATGTGTGTGCCGCATGTACAAGTTGAAAGGGTCCCAATGGGTGACATGGCATTTATTTGGCCACATGTCGCAGTTTGGTTGGTTGACAGCCATGTCATCAACTTATGTTAACAGTGTTAAGGGGTTGGGGTAGATGGATACATGAATGAAAGTTGAGGTGCCACATTGGACATGTTTTAGTATAAGTATGAAAGTAACGGGGCTAAAAATAGGACATTATCCCTTATGCAAATCTTATGCTCTGTTGACATCTTTTTTTTGACTTTCGATTAACATGCATGTAGATCGTTTTTACTTGAATCCTTTGTTTATTTCTTGCAAGTTCCATGTTTGTATCTCTCCTTTTTGTATCTCTAAGAAGAGAGCAGGTCATTGCTGTTTGGTTTCATATTGCGTCTCCTTTTTCAGTTAAATCTTACTTTGAGTGTTTCATATTGTAGAGCTACCAAATTATCTGTGAAAAGTATCCATCCTTTCGTGAAAGATCGGAAAATGTTGATCTTGTTGTTGAGATTTCACTGCAGCCATGGAATGTTTTCAAGCCTGATGGGGTAAGAAAATTTTTTTGTAATCCTTCTAATAATTTTTCTTGAATGAACATTTATAATAGTAGGTTCTGTTCCCTATATTGCTATTTTATTGTTTTTAGTTAAAAACCCAATCCTTCCACATTTTGGGTATCAAAAAATTTCAGTTAACTTTTATATTCTACACCCCCTCCCCCTCATTCTTGTTGCTCTTTGCTTATTGCAAGTTGTTAATCTGTTTTAATCATCATGTATTATGACAGGTGATTTTATTCTCAGACATTCTTACTCCTCTCTCTGGGATGAACATACCTTTCGACATTGTGAAAGGTAAGGGTCCGGTTATCTTTGATCCTCTAGGCAGTGCTGCTGATGTTGATAAAGTGAGAGAATTCAATCCTGAGGAGTCAGTTCCATATGTTGGTGAAGCATTGACAATCTTGCGAAGAGAGGTCTATATTGACATTTCCCATAGTGTCCTGATTTGAATGTCTTATTTTTCCCATTATTTTCAGTTCATGCTTCCATAAGTGAAACATTCATTTGTGGCCATGTACCATATGATATTTTCCACATACAATCAGTTCTGCATTTGGGATGTTCTTCGGCAGGAATGGCAGACTAATAATATAGTTAAACAACCAATGTTAATTAAATTAGAGAAGTTGGCTAACCTTAATTTTGCCAAACAGAAAGGTTAGCTATTAGGCCTCTCTGCAATAGATTTTTGCCTTAACGTGACCTAAGTTTGAATTCAAAATAATTATCCCATAAGCAAGTAATTGTCTGTGGTCAGAAGCAAGCAATTAAAAGTTTTACTATTATTTTCTATCATTTTATATAAGGATGCTTGAGAACTTAGAAAACATTGATAATGTCCTTGCCTAATTAGTGTTACCTGCCTTTCAGTGAGTTCAAAAGCTAGTGTAAAACTCACTCCTTTCTTTCCTTTGCCAGGTAGATAACAAAGCTGCTGTTCTGGGTTTTGTTGGTGCTCCCTTCACTCTAGCATCATATGTGGTTGAAGGTGGTTCATCAAAGAACTTCACCAAAATAAAAAGATTGGCTTTCTCTCAACCCAAGGTGGTTTTACTTGTCTTTCTCTAGCATTGAGGACCAACAGGATGTCAAGTTTTTTGTATTTGTTTTTTCTTCTGGGCTTTGTCGTAAATAGTAGTGTCCAATCCATAACTGAAACCACAAACTTCAAGCCACTTACATTAAAGGTTTCCATCAGCTACCTCTTAAGTTAATTTCCGGAAATTGATTGCTTTTCATTTTTCTTATTTTTCTTCTGCTTGCCAAAACATTTCTGAACTACCCTTTGTACTTATGAATAATGTTATCAACTGGATTCCTTTTGACCTCATTTTTCTCCTACAGGTACTTCATTCTTTGCTTCAGAAATTTGCAACCTCCATGGCGAACTACATTCGATACCAAGCTGACAATGGAGCTCAAGCGGTTCAAATTTTTGACTCTTGGGCAACAGAGCTCAGTCCAGTGGATTTTGAGGAGTTCAGCCTGCCCTATTTGAAGCAAATTGTAGACTCTGTAAAACAAACCCATCCAGGTCTTCCTTTAATCCTTTACGCAAGTGGATCTGGGGGCTTGTTAGAGAGGCTAGCTTTAACAGGTGTGGATGTAGTTAGCTTAGATTGGACTGTTGACATGGCAGAAGGTAGAAAGCGACTAGGACATGATATTGCTGTCCAGGGAAACGTTGATCCTGGTGTCCTTTTTGGCTCGAAGGAGTTCATCACCAATCGGATAAATGATACCGTGAGAAAAGCTGGTAAAGGGAAACATGTATTGAATCTAGGTCATGGGATTAAAGTAGGTACACCTGAGGAAAATGTTGCCCATTTCTTCGAGGTTGCTAAGGCAATCAGATACTGAAAACGATACGGAATTAACTAATTTCCTGCTGAATAGAGTTAATGTATCTTTAGGTTCTTTTTCCCGCCCTTGATTCTTCCCTTGCATTTATAGTTTTTCATGCTGGAGAAACATACTACGGTAATAAAATTTTGTTGACAGCTCCGGTTCCCAATGTCTGGGAGCATAGATAAAAGTTGACTCTCCTCTCCCTTCACTGTCCCTTGCCATTCTTATTCTAGCTTTGATTCAATTTGTTAAGGTATGCCTGGTTGTGGATTTGGAATTTGGATACATAGTTCAACCTATTCATCGCAAAATGAACTCAGAATCCAGAATCAGTTGTTCAAAGTTTCTTTCTACTATTTGCTAGTATTCTAATGGAGTTCTATTCTACCAATGAGCATTAGCTTACATATGCACATTTGCACAAGGCCGGGGGGGAGTAGTTGAGGTTTAGTTCTTAACCATTCATTGGAAGAGTACCAACAGTTGGAAAGTTGAGACAAGTTTGGCTTGTTTGTGTTTGTTATGTCACTGCTATAAGAGAACCTGCCAATATTTTATTGGTTTCAGCTATCTAGTGTCTCTAAATATGGAGGCATCCTTCTCAATCAAGACATTGCTGGGGGCCCTTTTCATTCCTTTAATTTAAATCTCCAATATAGAGAAGGGGGCCGTTACTAATCATGTGCCTCATCTAACTTTAGTCAAATATTCCCTTCATGTGCTCTTCGTTACCTTCTACATAAAGGAATGATATAATGAGATAGAAATCTGTAACAGGAATTGCAATCTTTTTTCTATCCCATCACAACAAAATTTTGATGATCAGATTGAGAAAATTTGGACTTCTTTACAGCGGAAAAGATGGATCAAAGTCACTTTGAGCCATGCTGAATGATGTCAGTATGCAGAAAGAGGGGGTTTACCTTGCCGGGCCAAAAAAGAAATGAAGATTCCGGATTCAGCTTAAGCTTATAATATATCAAATAGGGTCATAAAACAGAATCTGACCCCTCGTTTATCATTTGGCTTTAGCTCAAAATTATAGGCTGTTCACCTACCGGTTTGTATGCTAGTAATGATGTGTCCTAGTTATGAATTCTCAGCTTACAGAATATCCTGATGGCATATCAGAATATAGTTCAAAAGGTTTGGCAACTTTCACTGAAATTTCCAGGCCAGAATGAATTCATTGTCTTTGGGGGGGCAAATGAATCATATCGGACCTACCAATCACCAATTCTACTCAGCAAATATGCTCATGCCACCTCAATGATCTTTCAACTTTTTAAATGGTTTATACATTGATTGATCAGTTCTACCTGTCCAATTTGTACACATTAGGATATCTTAACCCCCCCGCTCTTCTTTTGTTCTTTATTTAGTGTTACTTAGTGCTTCAACTTTCATTTTTAAAAAGAAATGAAAATCTAGACTGCATGTAAAACTCCAAATCCTGCTTTAATTAAGAACTTGAACTTTTTTTTTATTATTATTTGGCAGTTCTTAGACCCCATTTTAAAAGAAAGTCGATGTCAAGCTTTTTTCTTTTGTCTCCGCCTTCTTTGACTAGGAAAGGCCAAAAAATAAATGCAAGAAAACAAGAATAGCCTTGCAATCATCATGCTTCAGGCCAGAGGTTAGTAACAATGGGGCCAACAAGGAGGGTATCAACCTATAACCACACAAAAATATTGCCAAAAAATTTCAAAATCTATGCTGTGGGTCCAGGAAAATTTCATGTAACATCAACCCTTTCGAGACCTGCCACCCACCATAAAGTCATTTCGCACCAAATGGTGAAGAAGCAAACATTTCCAGGACTCCCATGGTATCATTTTGTCAATAGTTTAATGCTTCATGATGTCATCTGTGACCTAGTGGTCTGCAATGGCAAACAGTTTAGAAGCCACCAGGAGCCTACTTGCACAATCAATAAGCCTGCTCAACAGTGCCAATTTTCATTTGGGTGCTTGGACAAGTTAAAAGAAAAGTTAATGGCTTGAGCTCATTTTAAACAAGAAAAAGAAATAAAGTTTGGTTTTTGAAAAGAGAAAGAGAACCTGCCATTTCTCAAATCCTATGTTTTGTTTTCTGCCTCCCTTTTAGGGTGAACTTTTGTTTTCATTCTTAAATAAAATTGGGATCAAGCTGCTCTTTTCCTTTTATATTAAGCATAATTTTGTTGAAGCCAAACCAGGAGATTTGAAGGTTATTCTACAAAAATAGATACTGATTTCCCAAAGTAGCCTTATTGTTGAGGCCCCTCAGACATGATTTGTCACCCTTCCATTTACCCGTTGCTTCCAATTGCAGAGCTTGCATGTCCTTTGGACAGCATAGAAAAGCCAGGCTTTTCTCCTAACCACACCTTACATACGCGCTTCTATATATAGTTCAAAACCAGTAATGCCAATTATTACATGACAAATTTGCATTACTTTACATACGTTGTACTTGCATCATTTCTGTCTTTCACCTCTATCCCCCACCTCCTCCTCAAAAGACCATCTTCCACTCAAAACTCAACACCATCTCTTTTTCTTTCCCCTTCAAAAGTAAGTCTGGTTCTTTCTTTCATCCTGAATTTCATTGCCTTTCTCTAGTTTTTTTTTTGGTTGAGTTTCTTGATCTAGGTAACAATCTTGGTCATAAGACCAATAGTTTTGTTTAAATCAGTTTCTTCATGGTTGAATCATATGCATTCTGTGAAGCTGGTGGATTTTAAATGTTTGTTTCTGGGTAGTTTCTAAATCTAATCTAATTTTAGTTTATATTTGATCAAGAATCATTGTTCTGTTCTCTGATATGTTTGCTGTGCCTAGTTCATTTTTCATCTACTTTTGTTTGCAGAGACAAGGATTTTTTTTCCATACCTGTTATTTCCTTTTCCTGGTTGTTGCTGTACTGGATATTTTGTGTAGCTTGCATGAGCTGGGATTAATTGACTATGTTGATGAAATCAATAGATTGTATTGTGTTAGCCTGAGACTTTATTTCCATATCTTTAAAACTTTGTTGAGCTAGTATTTTCCTTCTTCACCAAGAGAGAGAATGCTTCATAATTGGTTTTCTGAAACTAGATGGGAATTTAAATTGTAAAAGACAAGTTGCTGAATTTCTTATGCATTAATTAATCTTGTTCAACCATGTGAACCATGATTTCTGCATATGAATCCGTGAATGAGAGATAATACAAAAGTAAAAAAGAGCTTTATGGAATATTTAAAGGGGAATACACCATCATCAAGTATGCTAATTTGCAGGTTACATAAATTTAAAGCCGAAAGATGCTTCTTCTTTCCTTTTTTTTTTTTTTTTTTTAATATTTATCAATAATGGTGGTCCTTGAATTGCAACCAACAAGCTGAGCCAAGGGAATAATACATGGTTCAAGCATACTTATCTGTATAACCAGTTCTGTGCTATCAATCAGAATGGCTCTGCATATAACTGCACAAATCTAAACAAATATTTGTACCAAATGTCTACTTAATCTAATTAAGAGTCCTGTTGTTATTTAGCATGTTTTTTGTGTTTGAATCTATAGTAGCTTCAACATGTCATCATCTTACATTCTTGGTCTACATTTTTACATCATTAGAGCTGCTTTTGTTGGTTTTAAGCAGTTTATGCCTCATGAAAGTTTTATTTTTCTTCGATTCTAGGAGATGTCGGCGATGTCGGCGGGTCTGATTTTACATTTGATGCATTGTCTGCGTAATTTAGTATATGAAGATACAAGAGATGGCTAGAAAGAAGCCTTTTAATGATTCATATGCACACCCCTTTATCTGATGCATGAGTGTCAGATAATAACTTGCATTAGGAAAGATTACACTTCTAGTCCTAAAGGTAATCCTGTTGTCTTTAGGACTAAAAGTCGAGCTTTTAGGACTGAAGGGGAAAAACTTGATGCTTGCTGTTTTCTGGCTAATATAGCATTGATGGTTACCAGCACATAGTTGTCAAATTTGGTGCATCTTTATCGTTCTTGATCTTTCTTTGGTTGTAATACAAATTGTGATTTGTAGATACATTTCTTTACTTGAAGCATGAGCATAAATTCAGAAGATATATTAAGATATGTATGATGCTTTCTTACTGATTGAATCATTGTCTACTTGCCTATTTGTGTCTTTCAGACAGCATCCAGACAGGACCAGGGAATGCAGAAAGATGTGCTTGCATGCTGTGAATTCTTTCTCTCAAGCCCATAAGGTTAAATCCAGCTCTGAATTGCCCTTATTCATTCTCGATGGGGTTGGATACTCAACAGACAGCAGATTCATATTCTGTGTCCAAATGCTTAATAGGATTCAAAACAAAATTTCTGTCATGTTGATGCATGACCTTGTTGAAGACGGTTGAGTTCTCAGGTTATAAACTCTCCTGCTCTGTAGAGTATATATATAACAACTGCAGAAGACAATACGTTGTTGGAGTGTGTTAAGATTCAAACTTTGGAATGGAAAATACGGGGAAGGTGTTGATGCAAAAATATGAATTTGGAAGATTGTTAGGGCAAGGAAGCTTTGCCAAAGTTTACCATGCTAGGAACATTGAAAGTAGTCAGAGTGTGGCCATTAAGGTCATTGACAAGGAGAAGGTTTTGAAAGTAGGGATGATTGATCAAACCAAGCGGGAGATATCTGTTATGAGCCTGGTTAAACACCCTAATATCTTGGAGCTTTATGAGGTCATGGCCAGCAAAAGCAAGATTTACTTTGTCATGGAATATGCCAAAGGTGGTGAGCTCTTCAACAAGGTAGCAAAGGGAAAGCTGAGAGAAGACATGGCAAGGAAGTATTTTCAACAACTGATCAGTGCAGTTGATTTTTGCCACAGCAGAGGAGTTTACCATCGGGATTTAAAGCCAGAAAACTTACTCCTGGATGAAAATGGAATCCTTAAAGTATCAGACTTTGGTTTGAGTGCCCTTGCTGAGTCAAAGCATCAAGATGGGTTACTCCACACAACTTGTGGAACCCCTGCCTATGTAGCTCCTGAAGTTATAAACAGAAACGGTTATGATGGGGCCAAGGCTGACATCTGGTCTTGTGGGGTGATCCTCTATGTTCTGCTTGCCGGTTATCTGCCATTCCATGATTCAAATCTAATAGCAATGTACAGGAAAATAAGCAAGGCAGACTACAAATTTCCTGGTTGGTTTTCACCTGAGGTGACCAAGCTGCTGTCAAGAATCCTCAATCCTAACCCAAAAGCTAGAATATCAATTGCAAAAATAATGTCAAATCCTTGGTTCAAAAGGGGATTTAACTCCAAACCAGTTCAGAGAAAAGCTGAAAAGGAATTGGCTCCTGTTGATATTGATGCAGTTTTTGGTTCTGAGACTAACCACATTACATTTGAAGCAAAGAAAGACATGGCTAAGCTCACTAATATGAATGCCTTTGATATCATTTCTTTATCAAGTGGGTTTGATTTGTCCGGATTATTTACAGAAATTGATAAGAAGAAAGAAGTACAGTTCACTTCCATGCATACTGCCTCTACCATCACATCTAAACTCGAGGACATTGCTCAACATCTGAAGTTAAAAGTTAGGAAGGATGGAGGACTGCTGAAACTGGAAGGATCAAATGGAGGTAGAAAAGGCGCATTGGCTATTGATGCAGAAATATTTGAGTTTACCCCATCTTTCCATTTAGTAGAGATGAGGAAGTCCAGTGGTGATACATTGGAGTTCCGGAAGACGTTGCAACAGGATGTTAGACCAGCTCTCAAGGATATTGTTTGGGCTTGGCAAGGTGAGGAGCAGCAGCAACAACAACAGCATCTGCAGTCATCCTAACGGTGTTCATGTCCAAGTGTCTCAAGGTTTTTTCACAGTATGTTGTGTTCTTGTTTCTCAATAAATGTAGCCAAAAACAAAGTTGGATTTCTCCAGGTCTATTTAAATGCCCAATTCCATAGCAAAATACTGGCAATTGGGTGTTTACTTGCTTTCATTAAAGTTCAATATGTGGTTTCTTTTCTAATTTCTCCATAGCTGGCATCCTTGCATGATATCCTGCTTGAGTTGCCAGAATTTTGGTTCTCTGTTAAATGATATTGTGCTTGGAAAAGGCTCTTGGCTTTGCACTTATAGAACATTCAGCCTTGCTGCTATTTTGTTTCAATCTCAGACTCAGAGTGAGTAGGTGGTAGCATGAGATTGATTAAGAACTGAAGTGATCTAATTATGGTTACACATTGCATCCTTTTTTTTTTTCCTCTTATTTGGTTTGATTAAAATGTGAAATGAGTGCTTAACCTTACTCTTTGCTGTCACATACAACATGATCAAGGACTGGGACTTTTAGCCTTGTTGAGTCTTGTATCAAGTATCAATAATATTTGAAGGTGTTCCAAATCAATACAAGATATTTTGGAATTTATCAAATAGGACTAATTTCCACTATATTATTTATAGAATGAATAACATAATACTATCTTATAAAGAATTTGGATACTTCTTTTTAGTTATATCTAGGAAAAAAATCATATTTATAATTTCCTTTGTATCATATATGTATTATTTTGCCTTGATATCAAAAACCTTAATTCATTTATGGATACCCAAATTAAAAAAAAAAATTAATTATCCATGTTCCTAATAGGATTTAGGCACAATTGAATATGGTCGAGAGATTATTAGTTTCGAATCAGAATTTTTTGGATATTTGTCGGTCATTCATCGTTAGTTAATTTTTGTCTTGATATTTTTTTTTTAAGGATAAAATTTAATGAGGTTTTTCGTATAAAATCTGGAATTCTTTCTTACTCAAAGGGTAAAATTTAATGAAAATTTTCATATAAAACCTTGAGTTCTAATAAGGAATGAAATCAAAATCTTGTCCAAAGAAAATATCCACAATAAATGTTTGAAAAATTTCAATGGTAAGTCAAAGTTATAATAAAGACAATCAATAAAGAACTTGACAATTTGGTGTCTTCCAGGAACAAGGAATCCTAGAAGGTGAGACCAATCAGGACTAGGATTTCCAAACCGACAACAGTTTTGTTTCAATATATACCCACTGTTTGGCCTTTCATACCATATCAAATCTCGCTCTTCTCTCTGTTCTAATCTCTGATTCCCCTACTTTCCTTCTGTTTTCTTTACCCTTGTCTACCCCTGGTTCTGTATTCTCTCGATATGGCTGCTGCAAAGGCATGTCCGGTACCATCGTTCACGGCTCAGGAAGTGGCTGATTCCTTCGTGCGCCAGTACTATACCCTGCTTTGTATTTCTCCAGGAGAGCTTCACAGATTTTATCAGGGTTCAAGGACAAGCACGGTGAGTCGGCCGGCGGGACCTGATGGTGCCATGATCAGCTTCACGACCATGGAAGAAATCAAGAAACATGTTCAATCCTCTTTGGATTGCAAGGGATATGATATTCATTCTTGCGATGCACAGTTTATTGCTGATGGGGGAGTGTTTGTTTTGGTCATCGGTCGATTCACTGCACAGAATGACAAGACCAGGAAGTTCAATCAATCCTTCCTCCTTGCTCCAATGGAAGATGTCAATCATCATCGTTTCTTCGTATTGAATGATGTTTTCAGGTTTCTTGAGGACCAAGAGACCATAGCCATGCATCTCCGAGATGCCTCAGCTGCTGTTTCAACCAACGATGTCCCCAACAACGCTGTGCCGAAGAAGAGTTTCCTTGCCATGGTGCATGCACTGAGTGAAAACCCTGCTTCCTTCAAGGCACCGCCGGTGAAAACATCTATCCGCACACTGCCTCGCGAGTCGAATCTGAACGGAAAAAGTTGCTTGGAAGGCAAGAAAAACACCAGGAACGTGGACAATGTCGGGGAAACATCTATATTTGTTGGGAACTTGGCCATGGATTCAAAACCTGAAGATCTCTATGAAGCTTTCAAGAGGTTTGGGGCCATTAAAGGTAATGGGGTTCAAATCAGAACTGATCAGCATAACAGACGGTTTGCTTTCATCCAATTCGAGTCTTCAAGTTCTGCACAAAGTGCTGTCGAAGCTTCTTCTATCAGGATTGGCAACCGGACACTTAAAATCAAAGAGAAGAAACGCAACAATGACCCTGGAAATCGCAAGACTTATCAAGGTTTCAGCAATGGCAATGGCAATGGCCAGGACAATTCCAGGGGCGCTGGGAATTTCACTAAGGGCAATGGACCTGCTAATCATTAGAAACATTGAAATTTATGTTATCTTGTTTTTAGATTAAAAATCATGGTAAACAAATTCAAAGTTTAGGACTTTCTTTAATGTAATTTTAGAAGTTGCGAATGATACCATGAAAAACTTTATTTTCCTTATATATTAATATTAAATTAGACATTCCCAATATGCTAGCTGAATCCATCCAACAATATTGTGGAAAAAAAAGAGAGAGTAGTTTTGTATAATTTCTTTTGTTCTAAAGGTCTTCCATTCCATTATTATTCCAATAGTTGGAGTCAGATATTTAAATTCAGTGTTTTTGAGTAATATCATTGTAGAGGTTACTTGTGATATTTGATACTAACTTTGTTATTTTCATGTATTCAAATTTAATTCATGCTACTATGAGTTGGCCTTACCTTTACAATATCTCCTCTCTAAGAATGTTAACGAGTAAATACTTGTTATTTTTTAAATATCTTAATCCAAACCTTATTATTTTATAAGATACATGAAACTTATAAATACTTGATTACATTTGTGGAATTACTGCTCCAATCAATACATTAATATCCTAAATACCACCCATTAAATACTCAATTAAAATAAATTTAAATTAAGATCACTCTCCCTGCTGTCACACACAATATTACCAAGGACTGGATTTTTAGCCTAATTACTTACTTGAGTCTTATATCAAAGTAAGCTTTATTATTGTCAAGGGGTAAAAGCTAAAGATAGCTTATTGATTACAAGACCATAATACAAATAAACAAACCCCGCATCATTTAGAAAAATAAATTTCTATTGCATTTAGAAGAATTCGGGTTTAAAATTTACTATAAATTGTGTGATTGAACTCATAAAAAAGTAACTTTCATGATTGTCTATCTATTTATAATCTATAATCAATATCAATCAATATATATACATGTATTTTTTTTATTATCGATAAAGGCGTGAACTCAAAAAAATGTAAATAATGAAAGACATATATATGCCTTTATAAATTTATAAAATTATTTTTTGTCCTTAATATTGATGATTTTTATTAATTTAAAACATTAACTATTTATTTATTTATTTTCATCTATTCATCAACTTTCCTTCTTAATACATAACTAACTAATTGATTATATACTTCCTTATCCTTATCCATATTAATCTCGAGTTTTTTATTAATGACCAATTTTTCATTAATATATATATAAAATATAAAAGATTTTTTTCCATAAACTTTATAGCTGGAGAAACTTCAAATTACATATACTAGCTAGAATAAAAGTAGGAAACCCTTCCTGGCAAGCAACCCTAAAAGGTAGAAGCCGAATAAATCTAGGAAACCTAAAAATCTTCTATATATAAACAATAACTGGTTAGATCTTGTATTTTCTATAGGAACCAAGGAAAAATCTCTGTGTTCTCTCTGTTTAATCTTGGATTCTGTCTTTTATTATCTTTCACCCCTTCTTGAAACATGGTTGTATTGACCCCAGAAGAAGTTGCTAAAGCCTTGGTGAAGAGTTACTACTTCCACCTCTGCAATGATCGGAAAGATGTTCACAAGTTCTATAGGGACTCGAGCATGTTCTGCCGGCGAGGACCCGATGAGGTCATGAACCAGTGGACAACCTTGGAAGCCATTGATGATCATGTTGTTTCTTACTTTAATTGTAAGGGGTGTGTTTTAGGTATTGATGCTCAATTATCTATAGGCCTTGGAGTTCATGTTTTGGTCGTTGGTTGCATGGATGATGACAGCAACACCAAGAGGAAGTTCATCCAATCATTCGTCCTGGCCCCTATGAATAAACCCAAGGCTTATTTTATTTTGAACGATGTTTTGAGATTTCTTGATGAGGAAGAAACACCCAAGACTTTACCAGCTGATATTACTGCCCCTAACGAGACTGTTAAAGAAGTTGAGGATGCTACTGCTACTGCTACTGCTACTGCTGCTGCAGCTGCTGCTCCTCCCAAAGAGGCTTCTCTAACAGCTGTGAATGCATTGAATGAGAACACTGCTCCCGAAGAAGGTGCTAAAGCCTTGGTGAAGAGCTACTACTTCCACCTCTGCAATTTTCCGGAGCAAGTTCACAAGTTTTACAAGGGTTCAAGCAGATTGAGTCGGCAAGGACCCAATGGGGTCATGAATCGTTGCACAACCTTGGAAGCCATTGCTGATCACTTTTCCTCCTACTCTAATTGCAAGGACTGCGACCTTCTTTCTATTGATGCTCAATTGTCTATAGGCCTCGGAGTTCATGTTGTGGTCATTGGTTGCATGACTATGGACAATGACGCCAACACCAAGAGAAAGTTCATCCAATCATTCGTCCTGGCCCCTATGAATAGACCCAAGGGTTATTTTATTTTGACTGATGTTTTGAGATTTCTTGACGAGGAAGAACCGCTAAAGACCTATATCAAAAGAGTTGATTCGACTGCTGAACCAAACTCAGATCCTTTGCCAGCTGATATTGTTGCCCCTAGCGAATCTGTTCAAGAAGTTAAGGATGCTACTGCTGCTGCTGCTGCTCCGAAGAAGTCTTTTCTAACTATTGTGAATACATTGAATGAGAACAATGCTCCGTTCAAGGCTCACCCGGCGAGGAAACCTGGCTTGGGATGGAAGAAAAACGGAAGGCACGTCGATACAGATAAGGGAAAGTCGGTCTTTGTCGGGAACTTGGCCATGGGTGTAAAAGCCGAAGAACTTCACAGAGCTTTCAGGAAATTCGGACCGATTAAGCCAAATGGGGTTAAAACTAGATCGGGTATGCACAACAGATGCTATTCCTTTATCGAATTCGAGTCTACCAGTTCAGCACAAAGTGCCATCCAAGCTTCTTCCATCACAATTGGCAACCAAAAAGCTTATATCCAAGAGATGAAAAGCAAGCTTCCATCAGGCTCCAGCATTGGCAATGGCAATGGAGAAGATAATCTCACCAGGCACAATGATGAACCTGGAAATTGATTAGCTCTTTTTTTTTTTAATAGCTTTCTATTTAGAATTATGTTCATAAACAAGTTCAGCCTCATGACAATTTAGTTTTTTTTTTTATGGAAAGTGAATTTAGTATTAAAAAGCAATAATATAATATACAGAAAGTTATATTATTACGAATTGTTACTCACAAATTTTAAACGATCTATGGATATTGAGGATAGAAAATTAAATAAAAGGAACCGTTACTATTAATTAAGTTAAAACTTTATTTTGATAAAAATTGAATTTGTGAAAAAAAATTAATTTATTATGAAATTTACTCATATGGCATTAAACCCCTACTTGCCATCCAAGTTCACATATTTTTAGTATGAATATTTTTTTTTTTACTTTTTGTTTATGTATATTCATACTTTTTAGAAGTACAAATCAATATAAAAAGATTTTTTATTATAAATCATAAGTAAAAACCGAATAATTTTAATTACATAATAAATTTAAATCAAACATGAGAGGTTTAGAGAGTTAAGTATGAATATTTATCAAATTATAATGATATTAGCCTAACTTGAGAAACAAATCAATAGCTATTAATAAGTAGATTCATCCCATTCCAATTGGGTTATTCTGTCACTATAAGTACACAAGGAGGTGAAAATTTAATCTAAATAAGACTTTGCAGAACCTTCTTTGCAAAATATATCTCTTGTTCCTTTGCTTTCTTTGCTGTTCTTGCAGTTGCAAAGATGGTTACAGTAGTTGAGGCTGATGCCTTTGTGAAGCAATATTACTGTTTACCTCGTGATAACCGGAGTCTCGTTGATAGGTATTATAACGATTCGAGCAGAGTTAGATGGTCAGGAGAAGATGGGGTTGTGAGAGATGTGACAACCATGGAAGGCATATATGATCATTTCCTCTCATCCTTGGATGCCCAGAAGTATCTCATTCAGTCTTGTGATGTCCTAGATTCTCTTGCCGGTGGACTTCTTGTTTCTGTCACGGGTTGTGTGACTTTGAAGAATGACAAGACCAAGATGTTCACTCAATCCTTCTTTCTTGCTCCCCAAGAAGAAAGTTTCTTTGTATTGAATGATGTTTTCAGGTTTTTTAGTGACGAAGAAGCCGTGAAAGATCATGCAGACGAGACCTCGGATCCTTTGCCAACCAATCTTGAGCCTGTGCCGGTTCAAGAGATCCCAGCGGTTCCTTCCGAGGAGTCGAAGCACGAGGCTAACAGTGAGAAATTCTCCCCTCAAGATTTGGCTGATGGCTTTGTAGATAAATATTACTACATCCTCCTTGTGAGCCCGAATCTTGTTCACAGATTTTACAAGGATTCAAGCAAGGTTAGCTGGGAAAGTCGGGATGGGGTTATGAGCCATGTGACAGTCATGGAAAGCATGTATGAGCATTTTTTCCCTCGGTTTGATGCCAAGAAGTGTGACCTTCTATCTTGTGATGTCCAAGGTTCTTGTGATACTGGAATTTCTATTCTGGTTGTTGGTCGTATGACTATGGACAATGACGAGATCAGGCATTTTATTCAGTCCTTCTTCTTGGCTCCCCAGGAAAAGGGTTACTTTGTATCGAATGATGTTTTCAGGTTTCTTAAAGATCAAGAAACCACAAAAATTGATGCTGATGAGACCTCGGATCCTTTGCAAATCAATTTTGAACCCGTACCGGATCAAGAGATGACAATGGTTTCTTCCTTGGACTCAAAGCAAGAGGCTAATAGTAACGACCCTACAATTCCAGTCACTGAGACAAGCAGTTCTGCAGTCCAGAACAATGCCTTGGAAGAGACATCCATATATGTTGGGAACTTGCGCATGAGGGCAAAAGTAGAAGAACTTGAGGAGGCTTTCAAGAGGTTTGGAATTATCAAACCTGATGGGGTTCGTATTGTTAGCAATGACAGGATAAAGAAATGCTATGGCTTTGTAGAATTCGAGTCTCCCATGTCTGCACAAAATGCTATCCAAGCTTCGTCTATCAAAATCGGGAAGAAGAGAGCCTCAATTCAAGCAATTAAAAAAACGAGTGATGATGAATTTCACCAAGGCCTAATGGACTCCTGCCAATAGAAATATGATGGTTATTTTCTTTCCAGATTCCAGTGTTCTAAGAAACTTGATTCTGTCATACCTTAGCTCAAATTCTTTTACATTGTTTTGGTTTATTAAGAGTTGACAGTTGACACCAAATTGCTGCATTGGCATGGCATGTGGGAAGCTGCCAATGCACATTTTCTCTGTTTGTAAACCTCCATGAATTCCTATTCTTTTCCAATCTTGAGATTCCATCTATGCATTTTGTTTGCTAAGCTCCAATTTCTATGTGCCTCTTGAAAACCAAAACCCATATTTTAAGTAAGGGTATGGAGGAAAAGAAATAGCAGAACCACTTTTTGTTCATCAAGTTGAGATATTAGTTTGATAAAAACTGAATTGCAAAGGAAATAGGGAACAAATTAATAAATTTAATAATGAAATTATATGTTTGGCATTGAACCCTTATAATTCATTCAAGTTCACTTATATGTAATCTAAATTGTACTTTTTGGAAGCAAAAATATATAAAAAGTTATGTTATAATGAATCATTACTCACCACTTATATAGAGGAAAAGAAATTAAATAAACGAACCGTTACTATTACCAAATTAAGATTTTATATTCATAAAATTGAATAGCGAAAAAAGGAAAATCAATTTATTATAAAATTTACCAATATGGCATTAAATCCCTACTTGCCATTCTAATTCACGTATTTTGAGTATAAATTGTGTTTTACCTTTTTTTTAGTTATGTATTCTCATACTTTTTAGAAGCAAAAATCTAAGTAAGGGATTTGTTATCATATATTATTAGTAAAAATAAAATAATTTTAATTATATAATAAATTTAAATCATAAAAAGCTTTAGAGAGTAAGTATTATCAAATTTTATAGATATTAGAAAAATCAATTCTAGCTATATTAATGACCAACCATTTAAAAAATTTCATTTTCTTCCATTTTCCCCCATTCCATTGGTGAATTCATCCCATTCCAATCAGGTTATCCTCTCACTATATATAAGAACCCAAGAAGGTGAAAACTTTTAACCCAAATTTGTAAAACCTTTTTTGCAAAACAAAATCTCTCATATCTTTTTCTTTCTCCACTTTCTGTTTTGTTCTTGCAGTTGCAAAGATGGCTACAGCAGCTAAGGTTAAATCCTTTGTGGAGGAATATTATCGCATCCCTTGTGATATCCTGACACTCGTTTTCAGGTTTTATAAGGATTCAAGCAAGGTTAGCTGTTTAGGAGAAGATGGGGTTATGAGAAACGTGACAACCATGGGGGCCATATATTATCATTTTCTCACCTTGGATGCTAAGAAATATGACATTCTGTCTTGTTATTCCCAAGATTCTTTTGACGGTGGAGTTCTTGTTTTGGTCATCGGTTGTATAACTTTGAAGAATGACAAGACCAAGATGTTTAGACAATCTTTCTTTCTTGCTCCCCAAGAAGAAGGTTTCTTTGTGTTTAATGATGTTTTGATGTTTTTCAGTGATGAAGAAACCATGAATGTTCATGCTGGTCAAATCTCAGATCCTTTACGAACCAATCTTGAGCTTATCTCGAATCGGAAGATCACAATGGTTCCTTCCTTGGAGTTAAATCAAGAGACTAACTGGAATAATCCTAAAATGTCAGTCATTGAGACAAGTTGTTATACAGTCCAGAATAATGCTGCTTATTCTTCTATGGTAGAAAATTCAGATACTTTAACCTCTCAGGGTTTGAATAATCTAAATAGAGTCGATGCCTTGGAAGAGACATCCATATTTGTTAAGAACTTGGGTAAGAACACAAAAGTTGAAGAACTTCATGAGGCTTTCAAGAAGTTTGGAACTATCAAACCTAATGGGATTGATGTTAAACCTGCAAAGGAAGGGAAATTCTTTGGCTTTATCGAATTCGAGTCTCCTACTTCTGCACAAAATGCTATCCAAGCTTCTTCTATCAGAATCAAGAATCGAAAAATCAAAATTGGAGAAAGGAAAAGAAAGAATTGATGATGAATTTCATTTGGTTAAATGGACTCACTGCCAGGAGAAATATGATGGTTATTTTCTTTTCAAATTTCATTGTTCTAAGAAACTTTATTCTCTCATACCTTAGATCAAGTTCTTTTACCTTCTTTCGATTTATTAAGAGTTAATACCAAATTTCTACATTATGTCATTTTGATCAATTCACTCTTGTAGGCATGTGGGAAGCAATCAATGCATTTTCTTTGTTTGAAAATTTTCATGAATTCCTATTCTTTTGCAATCTTAAGATTCCATCTATGCATTTCATCTATTAAGCTTCAGTTGCTATGTGCCTTATGGACCCACTTGCAACCAATGGCATGGGTGTTTTTGGGTAAAAGTATTATGCTCGATGTACCATTGTCCTTTAATGCTTTCAATGCAAGTGCCATGGCAACTCTCTAATGTGAATAGTTGACAACTTGATGATAAGAGCTTTTTTCATGTATTTGTGATAAAAAAGTAATGAATGTCTTATGGGCAAGAAAGAGTATGACAGGACAAATGTTTAGCTATAGGGTATAAAGTGATAGTGTTTGTGTGAGATGGTAAATCAAAATAATAGGCATCAAGGTACTTAGGAGTTTGTTTAGGTTTTGAACTTTTTCTAGTTGGTAAGACCATATCGATGACATTGCCAGTTTCTAGTTTATTAATATCATTAGCAGTAGGCATACTATCAGTGTCAAGGGGGTTGTGAGAAGAATTACTTGTAGTTGATGTGGGAGGGAGTTTAGAAGATGATATAGGTTCAAGTGAGTGTAGTTCAACAGACATTTGGTCTTGATAAGGATAATTTGAGAAATTTGAGTCAAACTCATCAAGATAACCAACATGCATATAAGGTGTTTCATGAAACTAGGAGACTATATGCTTTGCTATGAAGATTGAAAAGGAAATAACTTATTATGAAGATCAACAATTCTAGATGTTGGGAT